TTTTTTTTTTTTTTCTCTCTTTCATACTTCACGTAATTTATTCCATGAAATTTCTTTCAAAATTATTTTATTTATATTACTATGTAAAAAAATTATAGAAATTTTTATTTATTTTTATTATATAATACAAAATAGATATAAGTATAAAGTGTAGCACATAAATATTTCATTATTATAATATTCTTTTCTTATTTTTAATTTTGTCAAAAAAAACTTTATTAAAAAAATTGTTTATGTTTCTTGTAATATGATAAAATTTTTTTTTATATTTGAATAAGCTTCGAAGATTTTAAAACTTTTATTTTTGTAAGTAGAATCATATTTTTTTTCTTAATTTAGATCGATATTTTCTATAAAAAATTAATTATTCTATTAATTATTAACTTATATCGAAAAATTATTAGTTTACGAAATTTTAATTTTAATTTTAATTTTATAAATAATTGTAAATTATATAATTGTATTAATTGTATTAATTATATAATTGTATAAAAAACATTATAATAATTATAAATAATTGAAAAAGTAAAATATCTTTCAAAATATATTTTAAATATTTATATTATATAGATAATTTTTGATCGCTATCAAAATTCATAAATAACTAAAGAGAATTTTTTCTATACATTTCACTTCATTCTATTATACTATTAACAACAATTTAAAATTAGAAAATAGAATTAATATTCACAAATGTAAAATAAATTTTTAATTATCATATAAATATTATTATTTATCTCTATTCTTTTAATAAATTCTTTCTTTCAAAATCTCTATTCTTTAGTACAAATACGTTTAACCAAGTATAAATATATTACTCATAATTTAAATCGATGAGAGATTGTTAGTATTATAACTAGCGACACAACGGTGGTTAAATCAGGTGAGAGTCAGCGGTATAAGGAGAAAGAGAAAAAGAAAGAAAAGGATGAAGAAAGGAAGACAGGTGAGGCAAGGTGAGAGACATGGTTGGCCGGTCGGCAAGGTTTAACCACCTAACGAGTAAAAAGCATGAATGGACGCCAGCACGGCGCCGTACATTATCTTGCCTCCTTGTCTCTTTATTATTATTCTCTTGGCCCCTTTTATCATACCTACACTGCCACGCCGCCACTCAACCATTTTCTCTTTCTCACTCTTCTCTTTTACTCCCCTCATTCTCTTTTCAATGTCTTTCTCTCTTTCTCTCTCGTGCGCTCTTTCTCAAACCATGCTTCACAGAGAATTTATCTTCGTTTCTCTTTCTCTTTCTTCATCTCTCTCTCATACCGATCATTTCATCTTTGTCCCGATGGATTCTCTCGTTCCGATATTCTGCTTGTTTCGAAGAAGATCAGATTCACGTTGCACTGAAAAATCATATAATCTGCTCCTAAAGGATTGCTATATGGAATTATATATATGTATATATTATACATATACATAAAATTTGTTGATGTTACCTAAAATCAAATATACGATATTATCGGAATTTTCATGACATTTTTAAAAAATCTTCTCGAGTTTTCTAGAATCTATGAACATTATTTTCGTTAAGAATGTTTTAATATTTATCAATCATTTAACGTGAAGTTATGATAACCTTCTCTTAATTTGTTATAATATATAATGTGTATAGGAAAATTAATATAAGTAATACATTCTTATTAACAAAACGAAGAATTAAAGAAATTGAAAAATTATTATATTTTTTTATTATATCTTTATAATTTATAATTCACATTTTCAATCAATCAATAAATAATTAATAAAAATAAAAAATTTAATGTCTAGTTTTATAGTATATATAAATTATATAATATACATAAATTATAATTTTTTATATAAAAAGAGTTGCAATATAAAAAATAAACATTAAATATACGAAAATATTTCGCATTCATCAAATTTAAACAAATATTATTTTTAAATATTTATATTATTTTTTTTATTATAAAAGTAATTATATTATAATTTATCTAATATAATTTAAAATTATAAATAACAAAAATATGTTATATAATAAATATTTGTAAACTTCTATCTCCTATAATTATTTATTAAACAAAATAACCATAAAAAAATGAATTCATAATTTTGTTCGGCAAAACGATAACATATCACTAAGAAGTTCGAATATTTTTTGATGATTCATAAATGCGACAAAATAATTATCTTTAATTATATTATATATATATATATATATATTTATGAAATGTAAATAGTATATATATACACTTAAATATATTTATTATATTTCCTAAGAAATTAATAATATATATATAATAATATGTACAAATATGTAATAATTTTTAGTTTTTATAACTTTTTCACAGCTTTTATAGCTTTTACAACTTATCATAATAAAAGAAATTCAATTTTTTAAATCATTATTTTTGTACAATTAACTTTTTAAATCGTTTCTTTGTTTTTTTAATCTTCATCAATATTTTGTTACTATAGATCATTTTATATAAAAATTTACAATATGCTTAATCTCAAAGTCATATTGTTCATTATTATAAATTATGATGTAATTTATTTTCTTAATTTTTAGAAATTAAATACT